TTTTTTTTTTTTTTTTTTGTATTGTGCACATTTCTATCAAGTGACCAGGTCTCTAACCTGAACTACCTTGGTGTGTATGTGTTAGGGGCTATTACTTTTCTAGACATCGGTTTTCTCCCTATATCAGCTCTTAATGAAGGAAAAGGCACTTACTTGTTCAGCTACTGACAGACACTAAATTAAACCTGCAATCCATCAGTCATTTACTTGGCTTCCATGAGCAATCATCATTCTGAGATGTAGAAGGCTCCAGCCCTCTTGCTTTTTCAATGGCAGCTGATGGCTCTCTAGAAAGAAGGCACGGACAAACAATTATAATGAACCTTTCTTCTGATTTTCCCATGTGCAGGGAGAAGATGCCATTCCACCATGTAACGGCTGGCTTGTTGTACAAGGGGAACTACCTGAACCGGTCGCTCTCTGCTGGCAGTGACAGCGAGCAACTAGCCAACATCTCTGTGGAGGAACTGGATGGTAAGGAGCCCTTCGGAGGGGAGATTAAGAACTGGTAAAAGACAGTGGGCCTATGGTCTTATTAATAGTACAATCCTAAAACAACTTGAAAGCCATTAAAAGTGTGAAATAGAGAATGAATGGGAAAAGTGGGAGATCTCAACACATACAAGATGAGGGGAAAGGCTAAGGTCCAAAGTTGGCTTTTGACCTTAGTTTCTAGTAGTGGAACTTAGACAAGCATTTGAAAGAATGAAACTATTGTAGAGAGAAAGTTAGTCTAACTTTAAAAGACGACTTGTTTGTTATAGAGGAAGCTGCCAGCATGGGATCCTTCTTCCTAATCAGGTCTTCACCTTAGCTATACGTAGCCTTTAAGCAATGAGACTTCTGTTTGTCTAGATCTCTGCATAACTAGATGGATATATAGGTAGAAGTTGAATGGATCTTGGGTTATGGGTAAAGAGCAGTCAAATGTACTTCAGGCATGTGATTTAGAGCTGAGCCAGCCTTTGCCTCAGGGTTTAATGAGAAACTTCCCGTGTTGGGTAGATTATCTTGCAGATTGCCCGTTGCAAAGTTTATTGTGCTTTCCCCAGAAGCATCTGATCCTGGTCATCCTGGTTAAGATACCAGTTTTTTGTGGGAGGGATTCCTGGTCTTATGCAGGCTGGTGATTTCTGTGTTTGTGATTGATTTATGTCTGGTCCAGGTCATTTCAAAGCCCAAGTACATACTGTGTTATGGCTATTCTACGAACAATGTGGAACAAATTGAAGCACTTGGTTCGCTACCCAGTGGGTGCTTTGTACAAGCCACAGTCATCACTGGTGGTCTCTGCAGAGAACTTAACAAGTCAATGAGCACGGAAGTGGAGCTAGGCAGAAAAAAAATGTGGAATAGGATTGGGGCAAGATGGAAGAAAGCCAGATACTTTTACCCATGGTTTACCTGTTCTGTGGAGAAATCAGACCTTTCTTTACATGACTTAGCAGGTCTTCTTTGTTGTTGTTGTTGATCTCCACCCTCTGTGATTGATTTTGCAAGTTCTATGTAAATTTTAAAGAAAGAAGCAAAAAATATTTTTCTCTCTCTCTTTCTCTCTCCCCTCCCCATGGGAATTTGCTATAAGTCTTAAAAGTAAGATGACATCGTAAAACACTTCAAATACAGTTTAGCTCAAAATGCAGTTAAGGAATCATGAATGTAGAGTTCTGCGTCCTCGTTATGTGCAACTGAGGTTTGGATGAAAGTTTTTTGGTTGGTTCTTGCAAATGAACTGCCCCATGTGTTGCAGCTTTTAATAAAGAAAATGATATTGCTAAGTAAAGTTTAAATACTCTCAGAGTATATAATCAGATGGGCTAGCACAATACAGACAAGATGGCAGCGGATTAAGTCTGGCACTTGATTTGAAATGCAGCTGTGAAAGATTTATGTTTTATGTACCCTGTAATCATAGTGCGCCCATTTTTAACTTCTTCTACAACTTGCAGATGGTTGTCAAGAAGCTGATTTAAACTGGCGTGCGCTAGTGGCGGTGGGAAGGTATAACCTTGCTGTAAGCATGCTCAAATGGTGACAGAGGACATTTTATGCCATTTGTTCTCTTTGTTGATAGGATTTTCCCAAAAAAGGGAGCTTGTATAGAAGAAGGGGGAATGTCCAGGACACTGCAGGGCTCATATTGTGCCTCACTTGTGTTTTCAAATGCAACTGTAGTTTGTTGTAGCAAGCTGCTGTTAATACAGCACGTGGAAACCATCCGTGCATCAGACAGCAAAAGGGGAGAGTATAAATTTGGGTATAAGTCACCATTTCTTTTGCTTGCCCATTCAATCTACTGTCTGCACAATTTGGCCCTACTTTCTAAGGGTCAGATGAATGCGAGTTGTAACTCCAGGAATCTTCATTCTGATTCCATGGGGTGCTGGTCATTGTGGATTTCAGCCCAGGGGTGAATGTGCTTTATCTAAAGAGAGTAAATCCAAACTTGAACTGCACGGTATCATTGCTGATAATGAATATGAAATGAATGTTTTGGTTTTTTTTGGGAGGCTCCTAACACAACTGGTAGCAATCACTGTGGATGTGAGTACCCAGTCAGTGCCTTCTTGTCACTGTGCTATTGCACGGGAAAGCCACGTATTTCATATATTTCTGTTCACAAAGATTACCCCACTCATTCTTCAATAAAGCAGTGACAGCTCTTTCATTAATCGGCCATTTAGTTTCTAGCTGTTGGAGAACGTCGTCTCGTTAGAACTCGGTTAAATTTTTTGAGCGCCTCTTGCTTTGCAAACGCCTGTTTTCAAAGGCTTTAGAGCTTTCCCATGAAGGTGTGCTCCAGTTCCTAGCTTACCAAAAAGATCTCTACCCGATGCTATTGTTTTCCTTAAACACAGAATTGGTGCTAAATTGTTTCAGTTCTTTTAAGGGGAGGAGCACAAAAGAGTTTAGGAGGCGGTAATGGTTTCCTCAAAAACTGAATTCTTTGTGATTTGTTGATTTTAAAAAACCCCTTAATAATTCTTATTTGTATAGTAATGCATCTAGGAGCCCAGTCAGGTCTTCACTGTACTATATGCTTTACAAATCACCAAACAGAAAAAAAAATCATCTGTGCACCAGTGAGCTTGCATTCTTAGCAAGTGTTACTGAGCTGGAGATGTTAATGAGAGCCATATGGAGGTTTTAAGATGCTTTTTCATTTGAAGTTAATAATGTAGACTTCTGAAAGGAATCTGTGGGATTGAGACAGTGACTTTTTCAATGCAATTCTTGGTTCCTCCAGTGCCTCAAGAATTCAAGTCGTACATGTTAAATCATCAAAGGTTTGAACCTCCCATAGAATTTAATGTGAATTGTATACAAGACTCTTTGTAAAATCGGAGCCCAAATATCTAGCTGTCCTGTCAGGGTTTCTCGCATAATTGTAGCAGGTAAGAGTATCTTTCTTAATCCTGCTCTGTAAAGGATGGTTGAAATGGTATGTTCTGGGATACTGGAGTGATAAGAACAGAATAAAGCCCTATGCAGAAGAGAATAGAGCATTATTTGTATTGAGGGCTACTGCATTTAATACAGGCTGGTGTTGTCATGGGGTCCATGGCCTCATACAATGCAGTACAATTTGAACATCCAGAAATATTCCCAATTGCATATTTTTTTTAAGAAAGGGCAAAGCTATGCAAAGAATCTGGGTTTTAGGGTGAATATTATGAGTAGCCTGACTGCCTGTCCAAGCAGTTTGTATGCCTATCTTCTGACTAGTCATTCTCTTCCTACTTCTCAGGCTTTTGTCAGGCATTTGTCTACTTTAAATGGTTCTTTCCCCTTATTCTGCTGTAAATCCTGCCCTGGCAGTGAGGGAAAGAGGTTGATTATTGGTGCTCCGTGGATTGCTTGTCTGTTCCTGATAGTGTCATTTGCTGTTGGTGGTCCCTGAGTAGCATAAGGATTTTTTAGAATTTCTTACATTCGCCAAGGAAATTAAGTCACGGAAAGCTATGTTAGGTGACATTAAACTTTGTACCGCCGAGTAGATGACAAAGTTGGGACTGATGTGCCATCCATAACCTGTCTCTTGGGGATTAGAAGGCATAGCGGGGCTCTCAGATGAATGTGATGTGCCATATGTTCAGCAAAATCAAGGCATGAGAGCGTAAATTAGGGCTAGGGCAACTGCCTACCTGTGAGTTTCCTGGCTGTTGCCGGTGCATGTTAGACTCCTAGCACTATTTGTATGTATTTTGTGGTTTCCAGATTCCTTTTAAAATTGGCCTCTGCCTTCACATTTACAAACTGCTAAGAATACTTTTTATAATAATAATAATAATAAAAAAAAATAAAAATTGGTGGATGGACTCATCATTGCAAGTTTGAGTCATCCACCCACACAGGCACTATGTAAAGGGTACTGTCAGAAGGCAGAAATGTTTCCATAGTAAGAGTCTGAGAAATATCGCCTAAAGAGAAAACATGTGCATCACAGGTAGAGTTTGTGGAAACATAGTAACAGTGTCTCCCAGAGTAAACCCAAATCTAAACTAGAACTGCAGCTAATTAGGGCAGAAAGATGTCATGGTAACCAGGAGGCTGGTGCCGATCCCACTGAAGTCAGGGGAGCCGGATCCAGGGTGCTGCATCGATACTTTGCGACTTGGAGACCCTGTGCCCTCTGTTATACATCTCTTAGATGTGCCTGAGAGACGTTGCTGTCTACGTTGTGATGTGGCCCTGATGACGGACGGCAGCAGAGGTGTAGTGAGCTCCTTCAGCACCTGAGATGGGTGGGGGAGAGGGGATTGTGCAGACCACTAGAGAGCAGGTGCGGGAGGGTGATATTGCTGCTGGCACTAGGGGACAGGCTGGCTGCAAACCGGCTGCAGCAGCCCTGCAGTGTGGGGTCTGTGAGAGCTGCCCCTGGTATCCCATTCACTCCCCTTCCCCCCAGCTACACTACCAGGCTCAGGGCTGTGCCTGCCATGGCAAAGAGTTTCCTTGGGGGGCATCATTCTGCTTGTCCCCTGCCCCCCTTCTGGGTGAGCAGCTGTTTGCTCGACTCCTATGGCTGAGCACTGCGGTGCTCCTCCTGCCCTGGCAAAGTCTCTGGGGGGCAGGTGGTAATTCTGGCGCCCTCTCGTAGATGGTGGCTGGGGCTTATGCCCTGCTCTCCCTTCCCAGCTGTGCTGCTGGGAAGCAGCTTGATTGCTTTGGTGCAGCCCTTTGAAGAAAAGCCAGAAGAAGCTCCATCGGCAGGAGTCATGGCACTGGAGCTACAGAGATGCAGCCACGTGCATGGCCGTAACTGGGGAAAGCTCCAGGTAAGATGGTTCTCAAAGGGAGGCCTTCCCTAAGGGCTGCTTGGTTAAAATTTAAGATGCATGTGCTCTGGTATTTGCCTGCAGCACAGCACTTGCTTTGCCAGCCTTCTGTGTGCAAACTCCCTCCCAATATGGAATGGCAGCAGTGCCTGCAGAAGTGCTTTTAACGAGATCATTTTCTGTTGGGTCTGCTAC